AAAGCTACAGGATGGGAGAGGTTTTTGGAATGCTTTATTTCAATTAAAAGAGAAAGTTAAACATTAAGCACATTGTATGCCATATAGACCCCACAAGCTTTGAATCCATTACATGGATTTCTAGAAGACACAGCAAGCAAATGTTAGAACAATGATACAAGAGCAGCAAGTACAGCTGGATATTGAAAATCAAATATGAGAAAATGAGTGATTGTCCAGCAGCAACATCACGGAGAACATCAAATGAACAGGACACCAAGAGGAAAAAATGTTAATTCTAGTTTCCCTAAAACTCCTTCCTACACTATGCTCTGAAGAAAAAAAGATCAGCCATGGGGAAAGTGGAAGAGGAAAGAGTTTGTTTGGCATATGTCTTCTTTTTCATCTGTCATTCTCCTCTTTTCAATTTGAAAACTGTACAGCCTACATCCTGCGAATATAAGCAGAGACTTCAGTAAGGAATACCCCATGTGTATTCACACACAATGAAGATGGAAAGGCACAGTGCAAAGTAGCCCAAAAAAATACTATTTGCAGAAAAGCAGAGTACCTACCGTCCTCATCCAGCAGATGCAGCATGAATGGAAACTTCCAAAAAAATTCTAAGGAGATTCCTCATTACATTAAGAGCATAGCTACAGTGCAAACCTAAAAGCTTACTCCCTTAAAACGTTGTTTAGCACAAGTTATCTTTACAATACAGTGTTGGTTTTGTTCTTTCACCTTTTAATGCAATTTACTGCTAACAAAACATCTGCTACAGTTCCCAGAAACCTGTGTTTCCAGAATTCATTGCACTAAAAAGGAACACTCCTCAAGGAATGCTGTTATGTATGGGGAGACTATTCACAATCAGATCCTTCTTAAAAGCAAAACATCAAAAAAAACCATGGATTTTTATATTGCCATCTAGTCTAACTTAAATTCTTCCTCTTTAGACTCCACTGACACAGGAGCATTAACCTACAGATAACCGTCAGGAAAAACTTGTCAGAAACATAGTTTTGAACCTATTATTTTTGTGGTATTTTTAACTATAACATTCTCTTGGGAGTTTCTAAAAAAAAAGCAACTACCAGACTCATTAACTCTGAGTAAACTCTGCTTGCTTTGGAACAATTGTCTCTAAATAAACAAATATAGGCAAAATCTGAAACACCAAATTTATCCAAGGCAGTTGCACACTAAAATAAGTCTTCCTCAACACAACATGCAATATGTAGAATCAACCTTGCACTCAGTGTACATTTTACTTTGGTTACATGGGAGAAATCAAAAGAATAGTCTACACCAATCCAGAACTTCTGTGTTAGCTTTCCCAGACAGCAAAGTATGTACCTTATTGCTATTTTTTGTACACATATGACTTAATTATTCCAAGAAAAAAAGGTTAATTCTTGCATAGGAACTTCATTAAAACTCAGTTAAAAGTGCTTAAAGAAAAGTAATCCTTATTAGGCAACCCGTCCCAAGCAAATAAAAAACCAGTTAAAGCTCTAAAAAGAACAAAAATAATAATAAAAACAAACCACACAACATTCTGTCTTTCCACATTTAATATACCATCCTTTTTCCTTTCAATGCTCTTACAAGTCTGGTCTAGTTCATATTTTGAAATGGTCACAGGCTTGGAGAATGTAAGAGGGGAACAGTACATATGCTTGCCCTGGTCTTCACCCTTCCCACTTTGGCCACTGCTAGAGATACAACATTTGATCTGACTCACATCCACCATTTTTACATCCCTGTGTTCCTAGAAGGTAGCTGAAATTACTGAGCACAGAATGTCTCCATTTCCAATAACAGCATGTTTCCTAGACTGTGCAAGGTTGCAATTCAACTTCCTCCTCCTTTATGACAAAAGCCATGAAAAAAGTTCGCAAAAGATAATATTTACCTCTCCACGTTGAGCTTCCTGTATTCTCGTAAATCTGAGGTCAGCATGTTCCCAGTTTGCATTTACACTATATATTCTCAGCTGGGAAAGTTCAAATGAAGCATTAAAGGCTTTTGCACCAATCCTTATTACAATGGAGTTCACAGAAACCGAAATTCCTTCTACCACTTTTTCAGCAAAGCCATATTCACTAAAAAGTGAAATTAAATTTATTAAACAGCTGAAATACAACATGAAACAAACCATAAGTTCTAATTAATTTCTATTAAATATACTTGACCTAGTTTACAATAGTTTCTTCTCTACCCTATGACCCTGATCTCAAAATGATCATTCAAGAAAACATTTTGGATCAAGATCAATCTCCATTAAATATAACAACTAACACAACTCTCCATGATACATATATCATACACAGAGACACAAATGTATAAAAAAATATGTATTATACATACATAAAAATAACAGTCTACAGCATTACATAGAAATTTTATTCTTCTTTATGTATACATAACGAGTAATTCGCGTCAAATTAATTATTTGACAATGCCAATCTGGTTAGTTTTTAAAAGCTAAGTTATTCCATCCATTAGAACTAATATCTTTCATATATGCAAAACAGTATAAAGTATTCACTTTGTTTCATTCTGTAAAAGAAAAGCATCCTAAATGGTGGTTACATTTCTACAACAATTCAACATGCATTCCAGAATGAAAAAAGACAAAGCAGTTACAATTCATTTTTTAATAAAAATCTGATGCATTCTGAATGTTTTAGATTAGTGACTGGAAAACTGTATTTAAGTATTCCTTTAACATCTCAGGGGTTTTGCCTTTGGTTTGTTTGTTTTTGTTTTTTTTTTTTTTCCTGCTTGTTTTAAAAGTACAATTTATGTGGCTTGTCATTCCTTTTCCTTTTTATAACTTTAAGCCTACCCAGAATCTCTATGGCAATGATTTTCAAGCTCTACCCCAGGAGATGTAGAGGCCTATGGACTACTTCTACGTATTACACAGAAGTTAAAAGAGGAAAAGCAATCGTATGATCAAATTCATTGCTCTGTATATATGTCCCTGTGCCCACTGAAAAATGTTTTCAGTCCACAAAAACAATGCTAGGGGGAGGGAGAAGGGGAGAATCACTGACGTAACGCTATACTGTCTCCCCAAATGACTTATTTTTTGGGCTACTGTGCATGAAATCCTTCAGTAAAATTTGTCTAATACCATGAAGGAAATAGAATTTTAAAACACCATGCTAACAAATAGGCCATAATACTAGGTTTTTTTAGACTAAACAACCTTTTAAAAAACCCCACACCCCGACATTATATACATTTTCCAAACAGGTTAAAGGCAAGATACCTGTAATTTTAAAAAAAACTTAATTAAACTTGGTATATTTTTGAACCAAGTAACTGCACCCATATGAAACACTCCTAGAAAATTCCATACGTAGTTCAGACGTTCTTTCCAGGCTTGGGTCTAGATAGTTCTAGTTCCATTATCACTATACATACATAACTCCACCCATAAGTAATAAAATAAAATTTCAGAGAGATTAAAATAGTAAGCTGCAACTCTATATACTTCTGGAAATTTGCAGGGGATCTACCTGTTTTATAATAATTCAAAATTAGTAATTTAAACTTTTTTGGATCAATTTCACATTAGTATTGTCACTGACCTCTGTCCAGATGCAGTTGCTATAGGAGAGGGTCCGTTAGGGGCACGTGGCTCTTCACATGTGCTCATTTCCATTACAACTTTATCCAAGGACTTGAAAAACAAAACAAAATATTGAAGACATAAGAGGTAGCTAAGTACATATAAAATATTCCTTACCGTGACAGTTTTCCCATAAACTTTTGTAACATACCAGAATTACCTTTTTTTAAATTTTTTTTCACATAAATTTTCAAATTTTGTGAATTCTAACAGACCTTCCCAGTCAAATATTAGATTACAGAATTCTTAAAAATGTGTGTGATGGTTAAATAGTAGTCAGGGATCAAAACCTGCACTTCAAAAAGGGCATGATTTAATGCACACTCATCTGGGTTTGTCTTCCTGTATGGTTGTTCTTTCAATGAAATACTTAATACCTCCAGAGTTTTCCAAATGGTTCAATAAGTTCAGAAAATTTTAATGGAAAATATTTGAAACTAGTCCTCTAAAATTCGTGATAGTAGATGAAATTTTGTGCTGCACCTTTTAAACAAAATCTGAATACATATATATATAAAATACACACAGAGTATACACACTTTGTGTATATAGGAATCTTCAGTAGACCTAGCAAAAAAAGCAATTTCTAAAAAGATATATTCTAGTATAATTTGCAACACATCATATTATAGTAAAACTGTATGTTATTATTAAGTTCTTTGTACTTGAGGTGGAACCCTTACAACAAAAGCTGGGAATTAAGGGAATGAGATACCTAAATCCTATTTTAAATGAAGACTATATTTAAATAGCAGAACTATAATACACATTATAAATAATGCATACTAACAGGGGTGAAGAGGATGAGAACAAACCAAATGCAAAACCTTATTTCCAGCAACTGAATAAATCCAAGAATCTCCTCACTTAATTTACAATATTCGTGACCTAAATTTATCATACAGCCTGGGAAGGCTCTTAATTTAAGGCTTATAGTTCTGAAATCTTATCCCATTAGAAGCTCATTCAAAATACAACAGCTAATATTACTTCCTTGTCCAGGTCTGATTGTATACCATCCCCTTCCAAATTCATCCATTTACTCCCTCTTAGGTCAGATAAACGACACTAAAAAACTCTGTCCTCAATTTTAGATTTTTCACAATTCAAAGAACAGCAGGGCAGTGATTTAAGAAGTTTGTGTAATATAAATATGAGTTAATGAAGAACACCTGGATGTAGATATCTGTCTATTCTTTTCTCACTGGCAACTACTGTACTTTCATAGGGGAAAAACTGCTGCATAGCATCCCTGGGTCCCCAAAGAATTCCTCAAAATTTTATTATCATATAGACACAGAAATTTATTATGAGCAAAGATAACTTAGTATTTGGCACTATGTTAACAGATGGATGGATTTTCACAAAGGGTGACTCAGCTCAATTAAAGTACCTTTGGCTAGACAAGTGGGTTCTAGTTACCTTCTAAGCTATGCAAACAGAGGATGCTGTTCCAATTTAATTTAACTCTCAGTAGCAAAAATATCCCCACCAAAATAGTGGCAGTTCAGTGATGTAGTAAAGGGCTGACGTTGGACATTCAGGCCATAGAATTCACCTTCCTTTAGAAGTCAAAAAGGCCGCTGTACAGTCTGCCATTGAAGAGAGAACTTTTGTTATCAACTTCCATTTAATGCACTTGTTCTAGGAAAGCTTTATGTAAAAAAGGTGACCTTGAAAGTTATCTTAGCCTCAAAGATTGCTAATCTAAATTCAACATGAGCAAAGCAAACAATCAGGCCTTGCTACTGTAGCTCAAAGCGTACGTAATCCTTAAGAATAGCCTGGTTTAAACTGATTTCCTAATTTGGCACCTACAACTTACAGTCAGAAGGTTGAACCATCCCACTTCAGCATTACCATGCTTTAAGTTCTGTGTGTGACGAAGAAGCTGTACAGACATTAGTACATTACAGCTGGGTCACTAGCAAATGCATCAAGTATTTAAAACAAGATGTCTTAGAATCACGGAATGGTTTGGGTTGTAAGGGACCTGCTGTGGCCAGGGACACCTCCCACTAGACCAGGTTGCTTGTCTTTTCCAAGTCTGATTCAGAGCTAAGAAATTACAAGCGCATTCAGGAATTCACTGCAAGACTGGGAAGCACTACAGTTAAAGGAATATTCATTCCTTAGAAAACACAATTAAGAAAGCTTAGCCATCATCAAGCAAATCACTTCTGATGCTACCAGGTTTCTTAGTATACTTAAAGAACAAAATTAAACAAATGCAAGAATTAGCATTACTTCTAATTGTTGCTGAGTCCTGTTTACATATTTTATAGCCTATTTATAACCCTAGGATGTTACAGAAACTCCATAAATGTTATGTTTATCAAACCTGATATAACTGAGATCATTGGGTAGACTACAGACGTAGAATAGAAAAATCCATAGAAAAAATCCTCTAAAAGACAGGCAGAATCTCATAGAAGGGTTAGTTGGACACATAACTACCCTTCAATGAAGCCAAATTAAGACATAATGACTGAAAAACTTAACAGAAATTAGCCAAATTATACATAATATGTTACACTAAACATTATAGTGCTGATGCCCACAGCCACAGATTAAAAAAAAGCCAAACCTGCCAACAAAAACATTAAGACATTTTGTCTTGATCTGCCACTACCTAGAGGACACTTACTAAAGGCCCATTAATGTTTCAGTTATTTCTAGAGTCAAGTCAAGAGAACTATAAATATTTCAGATAGTCTACTACATAGAGTATATTTAGGAGTTAATTTCAGAACTCACCAAAGAGATGGGATGCGTTTTCAATTTTGTCCATGGTATCTGCAAGAGAAAACATTATTCTAAAGCCAAGTAAATATTAAAAATACAGTAAAATAAAGCATTTGTTTAGAATGTGGTTTGCATATACAAATTATATTCTTAAGTCCTGAACTCAGAACAGTATTACTTTCAAAATATGAAGTTTATCTGAAAATACTGTAAATTTATGTACATACAGAAATTTATTTTTGGTGTTAAAAACAGAAATTCAAAATGTATTTATCACTGAGTAGAAAACAGAGGAACAAAAGAGAATCTGTCTCTTTAACACTGAGTTGTCAAGCATCAGAAAAAGCAACACTGTCCTCCACATTCTTTCCTTTATATGGAAAGAAAATCCACATTTGCTCTGTTGGCCTACAAGCAACTGGATGCCTGCAACAAAGCATGAAGTTCACTGCATTCAGAAAAACCAAAAAAAAACCCATTGCGGGGGGGGGGGGGGGGAATGAAATAAAACAAACACGAAAAGGCTGAAGAGCTGCCAACTTTGACCAGATCATAATGTCTGTCAAAAACAAGCCATGGCTTCATTTTTTACTCTCATATTAGTATAACGTAGGAGTTATTATACACATTACTTCAATTCTTAGCAGCCACAAGAACCAAAAAAGCAACATCTACTAGATTTAGAGTGTTTACACATTTCCCAGAGACCAGAATCCCTCAGAAAGATATTTTTGGAAATAGGAAAGGAACAAGAGGGAAAGCAATAGAAAGAGACAGGTAAAGAGAAGAAATAACACATTTAAAAAACCAAATAATAAATAAGTATAGTAGGCTAATTACCATGGGGAAATACAGGCTTTTATCTCTACCCCTATTTCAGAACATGCAGGCATAAATTCTTCTCAGAAAGAGAAAAACTTTAAAAAAACTCACTGCTTATTTTCATTGTTTCTCATATTTCATGTGATCATATGAGAAACAAAAATTAGTAAGATATTATTGGTGGTAACATCTTTATTTTTCTCTAAAATTTTATCAAGCACTCATCCCAATTGTCTATTAATACAAGATTGATTGAAAGTTCACAGAGACAGAAGGGAAAAAAAGAAAGATTAGACTAATGACCATTCTGGCACAATAAAACACTCACCCTAATGGATGCTTTATTACAAAAAACTTTGTTTATAGCAAGCCATGTTGGAAGATCCAGCATGTTCTGAAGCACCTCTTGATCCAGCTCTAAATTGGTCAGCTGACCTTCCCCCTTTAATGTGCTCAGGTTGATCTTGTCAGGTGACAGATTTTTGGTGAACCTAAAACCAAACATGCACTTTAAGTAAATGCATATAAAGCAATCAGAGCTGTCCCACATATAGCTGACAATTTCACTTAAAGCAACAACCTCAGGGTGACGAAACCATCTTAGTTTCTTAGGTACAATTTCACCCAGAAAAGTACCATGGAATTGCTTTGGCCCTCTAAGTTTTTGCATCTCATTAACTCAATTTACAAATACATAAACAAAATTGAATATATTATATCTTCTAATTTGTCCACCACACAGAATAACAAATTATTGATTCAAAGTACTTAACAATTTATTTTAAACTATATAAGCTAAAAGCAAATCCATTTCACGCTTCTTTAGCTTTCCAAAAGGAGAAAAAAAAATCCAAAACCTCTACAACTTATACTGTCATTCTTAGAGCAATCAGGAGTGGCCTAGAATTCCCTCAGGAGGAGTAACAAAAAGTTATTCCTTATAAATAGTACCTTTCTATATATATTTGCAGTTAAAATCTTGAAATGAAAAGTTTCACTTACAATATTCATTAGGTTTAATCATAGAATTTAATAACATGAATTAGAAATATACATACACACATAGCAGCACGGTGTATATCAAATATTGGATGAAAACTTGAAAGGTCAATCTGATATGCAAGGGCTAAAAAATAAAACTATTTTAAAAAGTAAATATGTAATAAATTTCATTATACTTCAAAGGCACTATGGTTTGCTGATACAATAGAACAATCCATGTGACTGCATCAAACAGTCCACATCCTTGTGAGACAGGATGACAAAAATCACAGGTACTCCACCCTCAAACCGATGGCTGTAGCATTATACCTACCACCAGCTGAAGAACAGGCTGTGCTTAACCACGCTTTTGCATGCTGCCATGGAAAATTGCTTCTGCTCATGAATTGGGTCTAATTTTACAAGATCAGGTAGCAGGAAATACTGCTGTTTGCATTATGCTTTGCGACTTTTCCCACCGAAATCTCCCCGTGCCGATATTCTGCAGGCAGAGAGCAAAGGGGTTTGCCTGTCCACAGCAATGGAACACCGCCCTGCAGCAACACCCAAGAGGTGCAACTTCGACATTTCCTTCCCATTCAAGAAACCAATTTCTAACCAAACCACAAGGTCCTTATTAGCCAGATACACCGGGGAAGATGGTGAGAGAAGGTGAAGGAGGCTGGCAAGCTTCTCCTCTTAACAATTTCCAAGTGTGGCTTGAAACATGGCAGGCATTTTCTCAGTCCAATTGCTTTACTGCATTCTTGTGATGGTAAGCTTTAGAAATGCATCTAGCTAGTCTGACAAAATGCAAACATCCATTTTACCACTCCTATGAAACATTCAGCCAGACATCATAAACTTGCAAAATTTCATCATCTGTCAGTTTAATGACAAATACATCTGGAGGTGGAGGTAGACAAGGGCAAGAAGCTTGTTCAGAATTAGAAGCTGAGTTAATTTTTTGTTACTATACTAAGTTTGAAATTGTTCAGGATGTATTTGCAAAGAATACTAGACATGCTTCTTAAGATAGAAGTGTTACAGTCATTTCTGTATTGCTTATAAGGCATAAATTATCCAGAAGCAATGGGCTTTGTTTTGTGAATAATAATTTCAGTACTAAAAATTTATTAAGACAAGGCTATTGACAAAGATATTTTCCTTTGCAACTACTGTGCTTCTAAATGCTCCATTTAGAAATATTATGAGGGAACCAAAGGACCTAAAATTATTTAATTTTCTGGTTACCCTTCTTTGTTACTTTTAACAAGAAACAGTAATGAGAAGAGCTAAATAACCTGCCTCAATAAAACATCCCCTCAGTAGCTGCAAAATATAAAGCCTCCTATCTAAGAAATCATATTGACAAGTCTCATCTGACTCAGGTAATTCAAATTCCTAGAACAAAAAAAAGTAGCCATTGAATGTTTTCAGTCACATCATAGTTATCTCTCACACTTGACTTTCTAGATGAGAGTCAACATAAGAATCGCAAACTGGTGCTTTAAAGTCACATTCATACAGCAAATGCCAAAACATTCTGCCTCTACGTACACAGAGTCTCCTGAGACTTCTCCACAAGACTTCCTCTTGTGGAAGAGGTCCCCCTCAGGGTTCCCTGTTGCTATACCACACCAGAAATGCCACTCCACTTGGAGACAGATCTAACCACCATCTTGGTCTCAAGTGCTGACACATCACCGTGAAACCCAGAGGACCTGCAGGAACAGGTTTCCAAACTTCACAGCAAAAAAGACGCTAAAATACCGTTAAGGAGGAGAATGGAGAAAGCAAAGCCAATCTTGAGCTACTTCCAACATCCTTCAAACAGATAAAACAGGAGCCAGTCCCTCCCAACAGGGAGTGTGAAAGAAATCTCAACAGGGAGCATGATTTTTTTTCCCCCCATTTCTACATATTTTTTAATTGTTCTGAGAGCGTTGCTTTGAATTTGTTACCTTTCTGGCAGGCAGCCAAAGGAAAAATGCTCTGACTGATACTTCATTCAGCACAGTAAGAGCACCTCCACCTACAAGACTACACCCTTCATTTCAAGAATCACAGAAAGAAACTCTTAACAGGTGAGTTCTGAAAAGGTATTTCAGGTGTAGGCACCTCTTCACTCCACTTCCATGGCTGGAATGTGACTGATGAGTGGCTGCCGAGGAGACTGTAGTGTTTCCCCAATACCCATAGTAACTTCATAATACACAACAACCACTTCTGCTTTGTCCAGAGCCAATTTTCCACTGAGGATGCCAACACTTTATGTTTCTGTGCCAGTTCCCTGCTCCTTCTAAACTCAGTCATTCCAGAGAATACACTTTTGACTGTTGCGTATTTTCAGCACATTAGAACCATTTCATGCAACTTGATATAACAGGAAAACCTTTTAGTTTTATAAGTGGCCTCTAACTTAAAAAATTAGAAGTTGGCTTACTTGGGCAGCTGGCCCCACAAAACACAATGTGATCATACCCGTTAATTAGAATCTATAAGAATTTAGATCTTCATGCATAAAACTAAAAGAAGAGCCAAATGACAAAAAGAATAGTATTTTGAATTAAAAATTAAAAAAAAAAAAAAAAGCCTTAGGGCAACCACAACTGTCCAAATAGTATTGTTCTAGGATCCCACGGTACATCAAACCGGGACATGCCCCACTGAGCCACATGGGTTTGACTTTTCTTTCTGGTGTGCTTTGTATTCAGTGAGCAGAGACTCAGGGAGAAGATTTACCACAGACATGGTGATGTGTGTCTAGTGCAAGATCTGGTGAACTTGCCATGAGTTGGTATAATCATCACTGACAAAATTATTACCCAGATAAAATCTGCAATTTAATATTTTAATAGTATTAACCTTTATTATTAAATTAAATGTTAATATTATTCTAAATATGCCAGTGGTAACAATGCCTTGGAGATGTTTTCAAATATTATTGTCAGGCAAAATTTAAGAAGCAGTACAGCTTTGGAGGCTGCAAGTCATTGAAAGAACTACTGTGTCTCTTAGTCAGCACTGTAACCTAGAATGTTTAATTGCTTGAGCTTTGAGAACTTACTTGGCTACCATATTTACAATACAACTTTTATGTAGAGAGGTACTTCCCATAAAGTTAGGGCAGAATCTTGTTGTTCTGAATATGTAATAATTTTACATTTACACACTTTGATAGTGTCATGTTTCGTGATGAGAAATCTTTGATTTGGGAAAACCATTTAAAAATTCTCTATGCGTTTTTCGTATAACGACTCTGAATTAACAATGCCACCAATTTCATTATATGCAGACATTCCTCCCTCTGACTTGGCACGAGCAAGCAGCTCCCCTCCAGCTTGCCATTTGCTTTTCACCCTGGTGTTCATTCCTTGAGTTAGTTATTCCTTAAAAACCGGGTCAAACTGGGAGCAGAGGCCTCAACAACACGGCCATCTCCATGTACAACATCCCATAAACTCCTAACCCACGCTCCTTTCCTAGGTAGCAGACAGTGTTAATACCCACCATTCAGTACAAGAAGTAAATAAAACAGAGCAGAGAAAAGTAAAAGGGAAGGGCAAGAGGAACAGAAATAAGACAAAGAACATGGCTGAGTTCACCCAAGCTTTCTGTCACACTGTTCTGCTGCGGCAGTAAAACATCACTGCTACTGAGCCAATGCGTACTTGGTTTGCTAATACCACAAGATACTTGTAGCAAAAATGTTTTCACAAGCTTAGATTCAATTTCACAAACTACCCTTCCTTTCTCAAAACAGGACTTGAGGTTTGAATTACTATATCTGATAGCATGAATTTCAGTTAATTTTAATATTCAATTCTATAAGGCAGATCAATGTTATAAAACATTTGATGCTTTAAAGGCAAGATTCCGGCAATACAAAGTTATCAATATCACAACCAACCTGACACAGCTCCCTTGGGTGCATGTATGTACACACGCACACACTCTCTAAATATTACTACGCAGTTAGATAGATGGTTCATCTTTAATTTACAGAGTAGACTAAGAGTTTAGTGAGAAGCTTGAAAGACTGCACAGTAACAGCACAATAGTAAGAGTCATACGTAGAGTAATAAGTTACAAGCACTGTATTTTGTCAGGACCACAACAGTTTTAGTCAGAACTAAAAATCTACACAGTAGATGCATTGTTTTCCCTGCCCAAAATACTCCTTTTCTAAAGTTTTGTTTGTGACAACGTAGGCTTGGAGCACTCCACCAGGCTTGCACAAAAGATGGCCAAGAAGTGAAACTAGAAAACAAAAAGCAGCCAAAAAAAACCTAGAGAAGACATGGGAAAACACTTCTCTGAAAGCACAAGCTTATGGCTTATATTAAGGAAGGCCACAGACCACATGAAGCTTAAAGCAGCAGCCCACAAGGGTTTGGAGAGAACACCAGATGCCTTGTCAAGTTCATCAACAGAAAGTCCAACTTCCGGATTTAACAGAGAAATAACGGAAGTCTGGATCGCATCTGGACACAGGATTGCCAGCTGTTTTTTGCACATCTGCTGAATATACAATCTCTTCCACCCGGCTCTATTGTCTGCCTCCCCTGCTTTTTCAATAAAATTCCTTCTGCAACTTGATGCTACATGTATGCTCTAATCATGACAGACTATTAAGTCATAATATGTGCCACATGTTTTGCTTATCTTCCTTGTATGAACTAGAACTCCTTAAGAAGATGTATGGTTCAAAACAACAGGCTCTGAAAAAAGGCAACACAGCCTAACAAGCACTGGAAGCTGTATCAATAATAAAACAGCAGAAATGGAAGGAAAGATAACTGGGTTTTTTTCTGTTTTACCTGGCTGAACCATGTTATTAGATCACTAAGGTACTTTATACACTTTCTGAAGCAAGAAAAACAGTCTTTTCTCAACTGAGTTTCTGACAGACTTAGTGGCTTCCCATGACTCAAAATAACAGACAGAAGGAGGAGGTCTTACTATCGTTCTGCTCACTGTACCACTTCAAATGTTAAGACTTCACATTTATATAGAAGAGGAACAGAACTCTTTGTCAAATCTGCCACAGAAAAAAAGCAATGGGATTGCCAGAGTGTTTACTGTTACGAGTGAGTTCCTCTCATCTGGTGGAACACCACAAATCAAAGCTATTTTTCAATAACTGGCTTGATCTGGAAAAAAAATACATCCGCCCCACCTTTAAATAAGAAAAAAAAAGTTACAGCAAATAGCATGCTGCAGGCAACGTAACAATTTCCTCTCTCATATTTTCTTTCCTATAGCCAGAAGAAATACCAGTGTCTCAGGAACAAAACACCATGTGCAAATACTGAGTTCAGAAGCATCGCTATACTTTTTTTGTGCGTCAGCACAACATTACTTAAGTCCAAAGTACAAGATGCTTAGACCTATTTAGATGGCAGCAAGTCCTAGATGAGAAAAAGACAGACTCCCTAGACTAAAAAACAACTCTACATACCAGTAGCATTAAGCACAATGGCATCCAGAAAAGTTCTTAGTAGCATCCCCTTCTTGATCCGGGTACGGCAGGAGAGAAAAGAAAGGGTGAGACTGATTACAGTCATACAGGATTAAAGATTTAGCTGTTGTTAAGTGAATGCAGACAGACTAAAGACAGACTTCACAGATGCAACAAGTGATTGAAACAGTAAGGCACTAGTGAAAATTTTACATGGATGTGATAATGCAGGGAAGAAAAAAAAAAAAAACACAAAAACCAAACTTCTGTAAAAGACATCTCTTTTAATCCTTCAGCCCTATGAAACAAGACTAGAATCAAGCAACAGATGTCTTCTCTTGGTACTTTCAAAAACTTCAACCAAAAAGCATCACAAAAGCTGCTACCAAAATCAAATATACAGTAAAGGCTTAAGGTTAGTAGAAATTGGTCAGAAGACTGCAAGAGCAACAGTATTTAGTATGTCCAAAGGATACGTAGAAATCCAAAGGCACTGAATATATTTAGTAATGCCCTAGAAAAAGTTGGAGAACTGTGAAGAAACAGAAACCTTTGAGTGAATCCTGACTGTCCTAGGGATGTTCTAATTTTAATGCAGTGTATTAAAGTAGTATTTCACCCAGCAAAAAGCCATTAACTATGGTTTATGTAAGAACTGAAGGACTTTTTTTTTCTGCAGGCTGAATTAAGATGTGTAAAAGCTGACAGGTAACATTAAAGTCACATTCATCAAGTCCACAGAAAACTGACCTTCTGAGGAACCCAACACATCAGCAAATGGCTTTGCAGCAACAGCTGACTCACTGATAATGCAAGATACTGAACATCTGAAGATATAATTCATGGAAACTACTGGGTTCTAAGTGAAAGATGAACTTTTAGGAAATAAAGGCGGAAGATAAGAGACAATTGATGAAAAACTGTCCAGGATACTTGAAGGTTAAAGTACGCCTACATATAAAAAAAAAAAGAATGGTAAGTAGTACTAAATATCACCACAAAATACGATGGCTTGTCCACATCTTAGACACTATAGCCATTTCTGAAAATATTAAAACTAATTTAGAAACCGAGAGTATAAACAAAAACATTAATGACAAAGTAATGAACACTGCACAAAAAGTTAATTGGATGCTCATTTATCTTAACCTAAGAAAGAAAATACACACAAAACTAAAAGAGAACACATTTAAAACCAGTAAAAGGAAACATTCATTGCAGAACACTTTAATGCCCATGAAAGCATCAGGACAGAATACAGTACCAAAATAAAAAGCTTAAAAGAATTAAAAAAAAAAAAAATTACGGCACTTGTGGTAGGGTTTGTACAGAAAGGTAATACTTTTTATGCCTACAGCATAGTAGGATTAACCAGACACACTCTGACACATAAACATTTAAGTTCTTTACTTAAGAATATTCACAGTACATTAGGTTGAAAATAAACACTTGTAAGGATAAATTTTAATATTTCTGGACAAAAAAACTCCCACCAACAATGGCACTCTCACAGTCCGCTCCAGGAAGAGAGCATTGCCATAGCACTATAAAATCTCACCACCACTATCAGCAGCCAGTGGGTAACCAGTAGGCAAGTCTATAGTGGACATAACTTGTTGGTCTGAGAGGCTATCCTCCAGCCTTTATCCAGAAGTCATCTGTATCAGCAACATTGTGTCCTGCACGGACTCCCAAATACCATGCAGTTTCCTCCCAAGAGACCCCTACCAAACGGATGAACTGCAAGGGCTACCATTCCCTTATTCTGCAAGCTGTACAGAATCACAGGGGACTCCTAACTGACAATACCAAGTGCAGCAGCTACACCTGTCATCAGAATTTTCAAGAACACCCTTCACTACCTATGACACCTGACGGGCACCTTCTTACACCCTCCAACATCAATTTATACAGGAGAAGGGTATCACCCCTTTAACCACGCGTGATGTGGCCACCCCACAGAAATGCCTGCATGCTCGAACTTCTGTAGGATTGCCAGGTGTGTATTTGGTAGCTGAGTGCAAGATGGAGAACCCTGCATGGCCTGCTGATGTCCAGCACTGAGAGGATCTGCTACACAGCATGTTGCGAAGGTGTTCATGGGCCAACCCTCTGGAGCAGGACAGGGCATCCCCCTGTTTCCACACCCAGCCTGGAGCTCCTGCTCTCAGCTGGCCATGTGTTACAGCACACTGGACAAGCCCAAAACACTACCTACAACCCTACAGCTTCAGGTGGGCCTTTTCAGGCTACATACAGGACTTGAACCACCTAATGCTCACCAGGCCTTTTGACTCTCTCCAAAGAGATCTTCCTTTCCAGGCAAATCACTAAGACTATGACTCAACACCCAGTCCATACTGGTGTAACGCATCTAATGCAGAGTCAGACCATCCTCCTTCTCTCTCCCACCCTAGGAGGTGGGCTACTGAGTAGTACATCTGCTTTCCAAGTAATTGCTTCCATTTCATCACAACACAGAAGGGCTTCAGCATAGACCCCTGCTCCAGCAGACTTCCTAAAAACAGCTCAGTACACTCATCCATTCACTCTAAGACCCATTCCATACCTTCTCAAATACTGACATCCCCACCAACTCTC